CACGTCAGCGTCAGAGAAGATCAGCAACTCCAGGGCCAGGCATTTCAGAAAGGAGGGAGACACAGAACCACCCACTGAGAGTATCACCTTACCTGAGTAAGAGCCATTCCCGACTCCTTTTCTTTCCTCTTCCTCCTCTTCTGGGCTTCTTCCTCACATAATATGACTCCTTAGAAGTCAATCCTGAATGTCAAAAATACGCTGTTTACTGTTTAGAATCAACACACTCCCTTCCTGGGCCACAACCACACACACAAAACCTCACCCTGTGGAAAAATGGTCCTCTGCTGCCCACTGCACCAGGGGGGATGGAGGGAAAATAAACTAACTCCTACAGGAAGATCAATGAACAGTTTTTGACCCTTTCTTCAGACCTCACTCCCCTCCTGGTGAACCCCCGCGTGCACGCGTGCACACACACACACACACACACACACACACACACGCTGTAACGCTGGGGAGCTGGGCTGGACTGTTGTATTGACTAGGACAGGAAAGAAAAAAGACACTGTGGTTTTTCCGCCCAGCTCATACACTCTGCCACAAAATACCCCACTCCCAAAAAAGGGAAGTGGGTGATGCACAACTGAATAGGGACTGCAAATGGAAGGTAGCATGATACCAATAATTATAAAATCCAGTGCCATAGACAGGAGTTTTACAATTTTCATTCTTAGCTGTATAATTTAAACAAACAGATTTTAAATTTGCTAGATTATAAAGGCAGAAATCAATATATCATAACTTAATCACCTGTATCCAATCAACTGGCCACTCATCTGGACTCAGCGTCCCTCTTTCTTCATTACCTTGTGTTTCCCTCCCTCGTTCTCTACAAACCTCTCATTCCCACCTTCTCTCTCCAGCTCTTTTTCTTTTCGGTGTTTCCCCCTGGGCCTCTGCTCCTCACTTTGTGTCCCCTTCTCTCCTGCTCTTTCTCCCCTTCCTCCCTCTATTCCTTCTCTTACTCCTGATCTGCTCCACGCTGGAAACTCACGTCACCTGCTCTTGCTCTTTCTCTCCAATCTTTTCATTGTCCCAATCTCATTGCTGCCTCTTTCTTCCCCATCTCTGCCCCACCTCTGCTCTCCCTGTTAAATTCCCTCTTTCCCGTGACACCTCCTTGTCCCCACTCTCTGGCACTCCCAGGTCCCTAGGCTTCCTCCTTGCTGTGGTTTCCCCTCTGCTCTGTCACCAGGTGCCCCACCTTGTCCCAGCACCATGTGGCTCTGCCTGCCCTGTCTCCAAATCATCCGTCACCTCCCCCTTTGCTGCCCCTCTGCCTATTTTGCTGTCCTTCATGTCTCTGGACATCGAGCTCTTCGGTACGTTTTTCTAGTTACTTTTCTTACTCTCCTACTTCCTCGGCTGCTTCCACTTCTAAGGTCTCTTTGCAAATCCCTCCCCCATTCTCTACTTTGCCGTCTCTTTATGGGTCTCCCTCATTCTTCTGTTCTCCTTCTCAATTCGTCTATTTACTCTCACTGGCTCTTAGACACACATTCACAGGGAGAGGGATGGAATAAGCCGCGAGCCTCCGGAAGAGCACAGTTTTCAGAGGGGTGGCATTTGGGAAGGAAGAGCAATAAGTTCCAAGGGACACAACCAAGTCGCATACCCGCCCCCGACACAAGGAGGACAGGTGCTGGCGTGGATCAGGAGAAGGGTGGGGTCTGAAGAACCCCCAAACCAGCGAGAAGACGCGGCTCCCCCAGGCTTGCGGCGGCGGCGCTGGGACCCAGGGACCGACAAGGGCGAGGCTTGGGGGACGAAAGGGCCGCGAATCCACTCGGCAGGTGAGGAC